TGATATCGATTAATCGTGAAAGAAATGCATTAAAGGCGAAAAATCGAGGATAGTTTCGTGTGACATATGCCAGTCTGGGCTATTTTGGTCTCAATGTTTCCTTCCTTCCCTCGTTATAAGGAAGGCACAGGCGGGCGCGGGCAAATCGAGCCTGGGCCTCTTGTGGTAAAATGCGGAAAATATAGCCTTGCGAAGTTTGCAATTTTCAGTCATTTAGATTACAAATGGAAAATTGACAGCCTCAAAGGGTTTGGGGCTGTCAATTTCCCATTTGTAATCTATAATGACTGAAAATTGCAAACTTCGCAAGGCTATATTTTCCACATTAATTTTACAACATTTCGCAACGAAACTTTGGAATATTACTAATTTTGTGATGCTCTTTCAAGCTGTACATGTGATGAAATTTTTGTCGAGTTCAAAATTTAGTCTATTACGCAAATGGTCAATTTGTAACAAATAAATTCTGAATAATATATATGTATAGATCCTTTTAATAATTACATATTTGTATGTAATTTAGGTTTTATAATATAATTTATTTTTTAATCATGTAAATAACTTGTAATTCAGATGTAAATGTTCTGAAATGAGTTATTTAATAAACCATTACCATACCATTACCATACCTTGCCATACCAAATTTGTTTTTAAGACTGTAACTATTGTGTGCCACTTTAGGATTTATCTTGTATGCCTTATCAGTCCTAAAGACAAATCAGAATGCTGCTATCATACAATGAGATTCCTAATATTTAAGGAAAAAAAGTGAATAATTAATATCCCACGGGCGCTTGGGACGTCATCCACGGTCTGTTTACAATAGGAGTTACGGTTACCACTGAGTAATATAAAAAAAACCCCAAAAAATGGACACTCTGAACAATGGACAATCCGACACACTACAACAGGAAACTACAATCATCCTGGTTTGATTAATTTTACTTCTTACATTACAGTGCAACAATGTGGTAAGGTGACCCTTCCAGCAAATTCTCAAGTGCGTTATCCAAGAGGATGGAGGAATAAAGCATCCCACCAACTTGGAACGAGAATATGGGTATCATGTAAGCCTGGATATCGAAGTCCCGTTGGTTTGGGGATGATTCGTTGCGAAAATGCTGGCTGGAGACTCAACCAACGAAGTTTCAATTGTAAAGGTGAGTTCATCGCAGGAATATACTGTAAGCGAATTTTCTCACTGCACAAGGAGCAAGGAAGGATCATATTTAATTTTTTCAATTAAACAACTATTAATGGCATATTAAGAGGATAATCTTTCGTATGTGACGCAACACGCGCTCAAAACTAACGAATATCCTTAAACTAACGGATATCCCATATTCAATTTTTATAATTTTTGATAGCTACGTTTTGCAAGCGGCAAGCAAACATAAAATGTATCTGTAAGTTATGCTAAAATGAAGAGCTTTTAGATTGTACGCCGCTAAAATGAAGAGATTTTAGATTGTAAGAGTGAGAAAATTATGTCTGAAGTTCAGCAAATTTTACTTATACTGCTGTTACAGTATATATAGATATGGCGTCAATTTTACAGCATCAATGATATTCTTCCACTGAATTCAGCAGGAAAAATCATTTCATGTAGAAATTTCATAATTTTTCGGCCAACTATTTTTCAAGTCCGGCTTTACCGTCGCTCTAATTAAGAAACTAGAATAAGCAGATTTTAGAAACACTTCGTCATGATTCATAAAAAGCAAGTTCTTTGACGAGTGAAAAACAAGTTCAGAAGAAAACCCCGCGGAGAAACACCAGCAAACCTTTGGTCTTTTCCTGAACTATCTATGAGGGACTTGAACTACACACAGAACAATCTGGACTGCAGTTGTATCAATCTTACTTTTTCATTTAGTTTTTAGCTTTTGGGGTATTTAATTTACCACTTAAAACGAGCTTTTACGTGCGAAAATTGAAACGAATATATATTTGGTCAGGCATAATATGTTTCGCATGCGGTATTAAAATTTGAATTTTATAGCATATAATTTCAAAATTTCTTTATTGAAACGAGAGAAACGTATCGAAATTTTTTCTGTCATATTACCCTCAGGAAGAAGTTGTGGCAATCCAGGCACTCCAAGGAATGGTGAAAAATCTGGTCTTTCTTACACTCTCAATGATGTCGTTCGTTACTCTTGTAATAACTGTTATAACCTAACTGGTGTCAGTTATCGTCAGTGTCTGGCCGATGGAACCTGGAGTGACACATTACCCATATGTGCACGTATGTATCCTTTCATCCTTCTCCATCACTGATCTAAAATTAGTTTGGGATCAGGGGCGTAGGAAGCATCAAAAGGTTGGAGGGCACAATCTTCGAGGGGCAGTTTTGGATAATGAAAAGGGCACCTACAAAATTTTTGAGGGAAAGGAAAACAATTTTGCAATCATATCATATTCCACAATAATTTGCCCAAATTTCGAATTGCAACGTTACAATCAACGTTTTTGACCACATTTAAAAAAATATCGACCAAAAGTTAAATTTATTTGTTTCATGGAGATTTATTTATTGAAGGGAACTTTTCTCAAGAATTGCAGGTTATTTCCGAACATTTTTCACGAAGACAAGGGGCACTTTGCCACCGGAGAGAGGGCATTTTTTGTGTCCTGAAAACTTGGGGCGTCCCCTTGCCCCCTCCCAGGTTACTACGCCCCTGGTTGGGACAGAACATCTTTAATTGAACGAGCGGTGCCGTCAGAAGCAAATTGTTACTCGGGGAGTGGGGCTGAATCAAGGGGCTCTATGGACATGTTCCCTCTCCCCAAAGTGTTGCGTTTCCGAAGCCTCGGAAGAGCATTTTCCGTGGTTCCTGAGAGGAATTTTTATCAAAGTTGTAAATCTCTTGCATTTAAAAATTCAATATTTTGTAATGCACTTTATGACTTTTTACAACTTCATCTCTTTGTTTCGAAATAGCGTTTGCTCTGTATGCAATCACAAGTATGAATGAAGTGGTTTTGTTCCTATTGATATACAATTTTTTAGCGATTCCCAGGCAAGCCTTTCGCGCTTGTATTCGACTTTTCCGTTTTCCTCGGGGACAACCTCCATTGAAATAGCTGTATACGCTCTATCAATCTAACAACAAACTGTTACGGATAATATAAGTTGGATAATGTAAGTTGATTGTAATTGCCTGTGAAAGGAAGAAATAAAGTATGAAAAGAAATAGAATCCTCATGGACGAGGAAAGTATTGGGGGAGGGTGTTCCCCCTCAGCCCTCTCCTTTCCCCGCTTCCAACAGCCCCGACGAGCCAATCTTAAAGCGTGAAAGGCTACTATGGCAAAAAAACTCCACGTTTTCGAAGTCGTGCGTTGGATTTTAATTGTCTGGTACCATGAAAAGACTTTTGTACCCTGTGAATTCAAATTGCATTTTAAGCCTTCCATTTTTGTGCGCAAAAATTTACTTACAACTCGAAAATTTACTTTTCAGAATAATTTTTGTGGTAAAGATACTAGCGGATCCCTAACTACCTACTGTATGCTTGCAGTACAGCGAACATTTTCGAACTGGGTATATTTTTTCTATATACACCCTGTATATTGCATACACGTAGCTATACTTTATTCTATAGGAGTGACATGCCCTACACCCAGTCCATTAACACACGGAACACTCAGCCTTTCGTCTCAACCTATTTACTGTGGAAGTTATGTTGACTACAGATGTTCAACTGGATATAATCTGAAGGGAGCGAGGAAGAGAATATGTCTTGGTGATGGATCATGGAGTGGCAACGAACCAAGATGCGAAAGTAAGTCGTCAGCTTATTAATAAAGACACGAGAGAAACTTGCTCAGCTAACCGCCTCGCGTGGCAGCATGTTTCTCTCGTGTGCGGATAGTTTTCGTGAGGATTTAACCTCTCGAGGCTTTTAGTTGACTACGCTAACCCCTACAGCAAAAGCTGGTTTTACTTAGGCTTTGAGAAAAATATTTATCCTGTTTGATATTTTTCACCTCGCGACGAAAAAATCTCAACGTTTGTGGATGTTGCGAGGTTCATGCTGAGCTGTTTGAATTAACTAGCGAATGAGAACCTACAATTTCTTCACGCGACTTCGGTTAAAATAGCGACAATAGAGGGAAATATGCAAACGAACTTACCAAAGATGTTGCTGTTTAGTAGTTTTCCCAACGTGTGCGGTGAAAATGAATACGGCTAGCTGAGCTAATATCAGGAATTTGGGCATCTCAACTCGATAGAACTAATTGTAGAAGAGTTTTGTAGATGGAAATTTCCAGTGTGAATTTTATCCATTTATTAGACCTATCCGGGAGCAGTTGTGAAAAATTCAACTATAGGGCCTCTAGCAGGAATCGAACCTGCGTTTTCGGTGCAGCGCTCTAACCAACTGAACAGCATATATGCATGAACTTGCAATTAAAGCTCGACAACTGGCCCTTGTAGCTCAGGTGGTTTAGAGCGTGGCGCAGGAATCGCATGGCCGCAGATTCTATTTCTGCCAGAGGGCCTAGAGTTTCATTTTTCGCAACTTGTCCTGGTTAAGTCTAATCAATGTATAAAATTCACACTCCAATATTCTATCTACCCTTCTGCATTTTACACGAGGCAATTTTTGCTGAAACTTGCAATGTAATTTCGGGTACAGAGCCATCTTATCTAGAAACCAGCACAATGTCAGCATGGTCCACATTCTACTCTGCTGACATTTTGTTTACATAACATACTCTTATATAAGGCCCACACAACCGGACGCGATTCGGCAACGCGACGAGAATTTTCAGTTTCCGTCAACGGATAAAAATTTTACAAGATATGCAGACCAAATAGCTAAAATTGCTTCAGTGGTTCCGACTATTTCAAAAACATTGAAAAATATTAAAGTTAAATGCCATTGAAAACTGGAAATTCGCGTCGGTAGAATAAACCATGGGCCATGCTCATGCACAATTTCTGCTATTTAGGTAACATTGTCCCGTGTCAGAAAGTGCTTTGCAAGTTGCAGCAAAATTTGCATCTGTGCAAATTGCAAATTGCAAGTGTGTAAGATGCATGATCTTATATGTGAAAGTAAAGCGGTGTGTGAACTTCGCGAACGCTAAGCATAAACATCTACCAGAAACACAAAACCTTAACCTTTTTGTTCACAATTAATTTATTTTCATTTTTAGTCGTGGATTGTGGGGACCCAGGACATCCAAGGAACGGACTAACAACAGAAACTGGCGGTTTCACGTATGGAAATGATGTTACTTTCTCTTGCAACCTTAATTATGTTTTGGAGGGAAGTTTACTTGCAACATGTCAAAGCGATGGAAAATGGTCCAAAAGCCTGCCCAACTGTTTGGGTTAGAAATAAATAAATATCTGTCTTCTAATTCTTATTTTACGTCCTTAATGTATTTATTTTCAATCGATATTCAATTCTATTTGTTTATTTAAAGTCTCAACGAGCTTGTTGCTCCATTACTGGTAACCATAAATTAACACGTACAAATTTAAAATATTGTTTATACAAATTACAGACAACAGTCACAACACGTTTTCACAAAAAGAGTGGCCAATTAATTAAGGAATAGCATTTTGCACAGTTTTAAGTGTTTTATGTAAATGCCATACATGTGTTTTGCATGCAAGGTTCTGGTAAATACAGTACAGTATATGTTAGGTTGGCGTAAATCGATAATGTGGCGGGGGCAGTTGAATGTTCTTTTTTTCTTTTTTCTCTTTCTTGGAGATCTTCAGTAAAACCTGGAAAGTTAAAGTGTCAACTTTAATTTGGAATGTTGCAAGTTATTTATTGAGCAGTTTCATTATTTTGTCTGGTGAAAAAATGTGATTTTATTTTAATTTTTGTGTCCTCAGGTAAAATCAATTTCTTCAACAGGTGAAGTAAGTCCACGTACTCGTGCCGTAAACGATGGGAGGTTTATTGCATGAAGAATATCTTCATCTCGAATGTCATTCAGAGTTTCAGTTCGCGTCGTGTTTTCTAAATGAGTCTATTATAAAATTTAACAAACAAATTGTATATCTTGACAGCAATGCTGAACCTGTGATGTTCTTTGTAGAGAAGTGCTCAGATCCATCAGGAAACACAAATGCAAAGGTGATAGGCAAGGAGTTCTATCATGGCAAGGAAGTAGAATTTGTCTGTCCCAGAGATTCCATTCTTGTTCCTGCAAGTTCTAGAAAGTTGACATGTCAAAATGGACAATGGAGAGGGACGATACCTTCGTGCAAAGGTACGATGAATTAGAAGGATTATTACGCGAATAAAACGTGTTGTTGTTCTCGTTATTGAACGTTTAGATTGTCTGTCTGTCTGTCTGTCTGTCTGTCTGTCTGTCTGTCTGTCTGTCTGTCTGTCTGTCTGTCTGTCTGTCTGTCTGTCTGTCTGTCTGTCTGTCTGTCTGTCTGTCTGTCTGTCTGTCTGTCTGTCTGTCTGTCTGTCTGTCTGTCTGTCTGTCTGTCTGTCTGTCTGTCTGTCTGTCTGTCTGTCTGTCTGTCTGTCTGTCTGTCTGTCTGTCTGTCTGTCTGTCTGTCTGTCTGTCTGTCTGTCTGTCTGTCTGTCTGTCTGTCTGTCTGTCTGTCTGTCTGTCTGTCTGTCTGTCTGTCTGTCTGTCTGTCTGTCTGTCTGTCTGTCTGTCTGTCTGTCTGTTTGTCTGTCTGTCTGTCTGTTTGTTTGTTTGTTTGTTTGTTTGTTTGTTTGTTTGTTTGTTTGTTTGTTTGTTTGTTTGTTTGTTTGTTTGTTTGTTATCGGTACTTATAGATTCTCGTAATTCCACGTTTTGACCCTTTCCCATGTTCTTTTTCTATGATCCTCGTTTTAAAATATTTGCCGTTTTAGTTTCATGTCCGTCCTTGTCACAACTATCCGACGGTTATAAATGGGGTAGAAGTCGAACACATGGTTCTTCAGTTCAATTTCGTTGCTCCCATGGTCATAAACTGGTTGGTTCATCTCGAGTGATGTGCAATGATGGTAGATGGTCAGACCAAATGCCTAAATGCCTAGGTACGTTGTCCGTTTCCACCAGAATACTGTAAGCATTTGGCCGAAGCCAAACGAGGATGAGAGTTGCATGAGAATGAGAGATTGCGTGAGAATTTTCTCAACTCCGGTTCTTTGGTGAAACAAAACAAGAGTTTCATGAGGGTTCATTGAATGTTACCGTGCGATTCGTCAAACGGGCAAAAACTCTCATCAACTGTTATTGAAATTTGAGCTAACTCAAATATGTATATGTATATGTATGTGTGTATATGTATGTTTTGTAACTAAGTTTTGTAACGTATGGTAAAGAGAGCAGGGAGGAAATTTCTGTATTATCGCATACAATAAATGCGATAGGATGTGACTATAACCCAAATAATAACAATGCCTTGGGTAAGAGAGGAAAGATGAATGGCAACAATGAATTTTAAGCTTATTCGCAAATATCAAAACGTTGCTGATGAAAAAATGCACAATATAAGTCCACGGTCTCTGTAACTTTTCCTTAAATTTTTACTTAATTTCCGACAAAACAATTCCTTTCTAATTTCTTTAAAAATTGACCAACTATTTTGATAAAATATTTTCCATTTTGACCAAATTTTTGAACTTAAAAATTATTGGTGGTGTCACCCCCCTCCCCCCCCTCCCCCGACACACTTCCCTGGTATCGACGTCCCTCCCTTTACTTTGACTAGAGTTATAACATGTGATAATTGTAGACTTTGGATTATTTACACGGATATATTTTGATAAAATGTTTTTAATTTTATAGCCATATGCAATCTAATTCGAAGCATTAGCAATGGATGGGTTTACGGAAGGGGTAATTTAGAAGGAGATAAGCTGAGTTTCCGTTGCAGAACTGATTATATTTTGGATGGCGAACAGTTTATCAAATGCACCGGAAATAGGCGATGGAATGCAACGAAACCGACGTGTAGAGGTTGGTAGAAGACCTGTATATGACGGGGGAAGGAGACATTTTTGGCAAGTGGCAATAATTGGGATTTTTCCAGCAAAATTTTTATTTTTTTTTGGGTTGGGTCACTTCTTTTTTATTTGCCTTGTAACTGGGCCTGATTCATGATGGCCCAACCCCAACCCTAACCCATAATGCCGAAGAGAGTTACAACTAGTTGAGAAAATTAAATAACATTTTTTAAGTAAAACCACTGAGGCAAATATAAAATCAACAAGCCGAAGCGGGGCTTCAACCAGACACCTCCAACGTGGTAGACACATGTCTTGCCTTATGAACTACTGTAAAGCTCGCTGAAGACCATCGTAAAAACTCATTTTATATTACTGATATGAAGGGTATGTTCAACAGGCCAGGTAACAAGGCAGATCCCAAAATAAGTGTATAGGCATTCCAGCATGCATATATTTCTCTCATACGGCTATTTATGAAACGCGCATTTTTTTCATTCATTGTATGCTGAACACAGTTGCCATGTTACACTCTCCTACGCAAAGGTTTGATGTCACTTTATTTATACCCTGAAAATGTAAGGCATTCAGGTCATTGCTGAACGCACGCGTGAAAGGAAGGGAAGTTTATTCACCAATTACCTGCACGCCTCATAATTTACCGGTATATAGCCCACCTGTTTAACTATAACGCCTCTGCAAAGGAGAATTAGGCATGCTATATGTGGCAAGCGAGCAATGCTTGTGCTGCTAAACTTGGGGCAACAGATATTTGGCAAAGCCTGTTGCATCATGGGGTGTTCCAGTGGTGTTGGTGTTATACACCGTTGCGCTCGTGTTTCACACTTAAAATTTACCTCAAATTTTTAATAATAATGTACTTTAGATTATATTTACTGTATGTATATTTGTTATTTTAAATTATGCCTAATCGTTTGGCCCGGTTACCCTTTTGTCAATATCCCTTTTCTATGCCGGCTGAATTTCTGCCGCTCTTGTATCGCTCGAAGGCAATACATAAGTACTGTATACCTAGCTGTATGAGAGGAGTGGCGTTTGTAACGAGCTAGAAGGAAATATCTTCATGGGGAAGTCTTGCACATTTTTCTTCTTGTGTGGATGGTTGATTGGCAAAAATGTATTTCTTTACTTGACTGTACTAAATGTGGTACAATGGAACTCCGCCTTATGGCCACCCTGTTAATACGATCACCTTTTTTTATTACGGCCACTTACTTTTGTCCCCGAAAAAAGCCAAAATAATACATTTTCTTATAAAGATACTCCGTTAATACGGTCAATTTTATTTCGACCCGCGCCCTTGACTGTTTTTAGGCCCATTTGTTGACTGGGGTTTGACTTTAAAAGTTATATTACCCAACCTTTCAATTGCTTTGATAGTTCAGTCAGAAATGATTACCCAACAAATTTATGAATGGTTTCTTTTATTTGTCCGTAGCACCATGTAGAAAGCTCAACGCACCAGCTCGCTCGAGAATCACACAAGGAGGTTTTAGACATAACGAGAATATCAAATTTGAATGTGATTCAGACTATCACCTGCAAGGAAGGAACGTCTTGACCTGTTCAGATGGAACATGGAATAGTGCTCCTCCGACCTGTTTAGGTAAGCATAAAGCACGACCAGAAATTGATTCATGATTTTGGTATATTGAGTCATAACCAGAGTGGCCACGTACTTTATACTCTACCCCCTTCCTGCACTTTCCAGGCAACATTTTTGCCATTCATACCCAGTTTGAGGAAATCTAGAATTGCAGAAACTATGTGCGTTAAGGATGCACTAATTAAAGTTTCTGTGATCACAGTAGGAATTTTGCATTAGTAAATTCTTTCTTTTTAAGGATCCGTACGAAATGTTTGAAGGATCTGCATGACTCAATGTTTTTAACAGTGAGTCAATATTCCTTCAAACATTTATAATCAAATTCCCTGGAGATGAAATTGGTTTCAGCGAACAAGCAAACTATGGAGAAACAACTCCCTTCCACTACTACCATGCGCTTTACTAGAAAATCTAGTTCTGCCTTTTGTAGCCCTGAACGTAATGTCCAATATCTTGTTTCCCCATATGTTTTTATATCAAACAAAATTCAGGTCTGGATTGAGAATTTTATATAGGAACGATGTAAAAAATCGATTCCTTTGCGTTTTCTGACTATATCTGATCTATTCCTTTGCATTATCTGACGATCTGATCTCTCTGAACTAAACTTCTTTCAATACAATACATCCAATTAATTTTGTCTACTTCTTAAACGCTTCATCAACACTATGAGTGTTTAGCGCTATTCTCGAGGAGAGCAGTGCTTTTTGTTGATGTCATTGGTATTTTAATCAATATGATATAACTCAATGTACTCAATGTATGCCCATTAATTCTCTTTCCCGATTAAAATATTGGCAGATTTGAATTATTGCATGAGATCATTACCTCTACAACTGTTAAAAAAATTTGTAGCTTGGCGCAACTACAGCTTCGTTTGGTAAAAAAATTTGCTCGTCTGTAACAGAAGCAAACCCGGAAGACATTTGTTCTTGCTCGGATATGAATCCTGCAAGGATATGAGCAACCAATCAAATTGCGCGGAAAGCACTTTCCACCTCTCGACACTCCCGACATATATGCTAATACTGATTATAGTGAAATACATGGTGAAATGCAATCAAAACGACTTCAAGAACTACGAAATAGAGCTGCCAGAATTATTATGGATGTGAACAATGACGTAAATCATTCTATAGCTTTACGTGCACTAGGCTGGGAACCACTCAAAACAGAAAGGAAGAAAGCTAAGGCAAAAATGATGTATAAAGTATTAAATAAAATGGGTCCCAAATCACTTACTAATCTTTTTTCATACAAAAGTCAGAAAACAAATTACAAGCTTCGGGAAATTTCAAGTGGTCTTAGTTTACCAATCCGCGTACTAAGAATATGAAAAATAGTTTCATGTATGACGGAAATTAGGGAAAGCAAAACTCTTTCTTCCTTTAGAAATAAAATCGCTGCTCACATCATTAACATAGAGTAATAAGTAAATTGATGTGCCTGTAAATATTCTAATAACGTTCGTATCATGTAAATAATTCAGTATTTTGCCAAATGTTCTGTAAATAGCTCTTAATATCTTCTCTATGGAATTTTTTCTATTTTTACACACGCCCCTCATGGAAATCAGCTTCGGTTTACGGGGTTAGCTTGTATAAATAAAGTGTCTATCTATCTATCTATCTATCTATCTATCTATCTATCTATCTATCTATCTATCTATCTATCTATCTATCTATCTATCTATCTATCTATCTATCTATCTATCTATCTATCTATCTATCTATCTATCTATCTATCTATCTATCTATCTATTTATCAAACATTGTACATGTATATACGTTTTAATCTTCAGCTCCTTGCAGACGGTTTGGTGTGCAACCATTCCGTGGTGGTTATATAAAGCGAGATGGTTACAGACATAATGAGGAAGTTACATTTGGATGTAGAGATCCTTTGGTTATTGATGGTCAGGTTACCTTACGTTGCAATGGTGGGACATGGAATGACAGACTACCTACTTGTGGAGGTTTGTGTATTTTCGTGAAGGTTAGGGTCGAGGGTTGATCGTCTATAACAACGTGAAACCTGAAACACCATTTCGTTCTTTCCTTACTCTTCAACCTGGAAGATGCAGTTCACAATCTCATTTCGAATATTTTACAATTATTAGACGTGATTGAGCAAAACATCGTGATTTGTCAGTAGCTTGCATGCACACCAATACATTTTCGATTCAGCAAAGCGCGCGTTCAATAATTGATTGGCCGTACTATTTCATATTTCGCATGCAATTATTCACTATAATTTCTGTCATTCTTATTGCATTGCACGAGTTTTCAAAGATTAACAAGCCTTTGCAACACAAATCTTCCCAGTGTCAGCCGAAACTGAATAAATGAAATTGGAATAAATGAAATACATTTAAACATGACGTATATTTAAATTTTGTTACTTTTTTGTATCTTGGACATGTTTGTCGAAGCAAACACGAAAATTGTTTCCAGACAAAGCGCTTATATAGGATGAAATTTCACACCATTTTTCTGATTGCATTGTAAAATTATCAAAAATTAATTAATTTAAAATGACTAATAGATAACGTACTTTGCCAAACTGCTTTGTCAAAATTTATAATCGCTTTTTGAACGAACATTATATATAGCTCTCAAGAACGAAGCGAGCTTGGCAAATTTCGTTATAAAAGTATTTTAAACAAACTCCGTCAAAAGCGAATAGTGAAATTGATATTTTGTAGGTGATAAGTGCTAGTTAAAACATGATCTTTATGTTTACGCCGATCTTTATCTGATATACCAACTCGAGCCGAAGGCGAAAGTTTGTATATCAGATAAAGATCGGATGCGTGACCCATCTTATGGGTATATACATTTGCGAAGTAGTTTTAAAAATAAACAATGCCTAAGCCGGGAAAATAAAAGCTGAAGTTTATGTAAATCAGGACAAATCTTTATCCGATTTACAAACGTTGGTTAATTAAACATTCATGTCTTTGGAATTTTCTTCATGAATTATTAATGTCAGTATTTTAATTGCTTTTAAAAGTGTGTGCATGTTCAATAAACTGTTTACACCTGTTATTTGCTGTTAACATAATAATATTATACCACCATGTCCAGGTATTGGCAAAAAAGTAGTCAATCAAAATTGAGAGAATAATTATAAGTTACAACAGAATTTACTTGTAATTTTGGACTTGTGATTTGCTAATTTGAAATCCATTTGTAAATTGTTCTGACATTGGGTATGACAAAGTCCAATTACAATATTGCATTGCTACAGGCCCTTGCAGAAACCTCACTGCGCCGAGAAATGGTGTAATCATAAAGAATGGATACAAACATAAAGAAACCCTTACTTTCAAATGCAATCAAGGATTTCAAATGGTTGGTACACCAGATAGAATATGTAATTTTGCAGCATGGAGTGATTCCAGAATACCTCGTTGTGAAGGTAAAACATTTAATTTCGTCCATAATTTATTTTATATGTACTCTAGAACAGTATCTTAAATGATCAAATCCTATGACAGAAAATCTTAAAATAATATATCATAATTTCTTCATAGCAAAGTGTTCGAATCCGTCGAAAAGCACGAATGCAAGGGTGGTAGGAAACGAGTTCTACAATGGCAAGGAAGTAGAATTTGTCTGTCCGAAGGATTATGTCATTGAACCAGAAATTTCAAAGAAGTTGACTTGTGAAAACGGAAAATGGAAAGGAATAATCCCATCCTGTAAAGGTATAATAGATGTACTCTGTCGTGTTAAGAATCCCAACGTCTGCAATAGCTCACGGTACACCGATGTACACAAATGATGCACCTCCTTTTTCCTTGTAAGATTTTAGCAGCCACAATTTGTTTGCAAAGTTTGGTGTGCAAACCAGTACGCTGCACCAATTGCTATGAGCCTATATGGCAGTCAATGGACCATTTGCATTGTAGACTAAATTTTGATCTAGACAAAAATTTCATCACAGCTCGAAAAAGCAGCACAAAATTAGTAATATTCCAAAGTTTCGTTGCGAAATGTTGTAAAATGCGGATAATATAGCCTTGCGAAATTTGCAATTTTCAGTCATTTTGTATTACAAACGGGAAATTGATGCCCCAACATCCGATTGGCTGTCAATTTCCCGTGCGTAATACAAAATGACTGAAAAACGGCAAACTTCGCATGGCTATGTTATCCGCATTTTACCATAGGACTCCCGAAAAGGTCTTTTATTTAAAAAATATCCGTACAATTTGCCTTAAAATTCAATGCTTTGACATGCGATGCTTCAATGTACAGTAAAACCTCTATAATTTGTATTACATGAAGTACGTGCAACATCACAATAGCGTTGTGTCATTATGTAATATATATCCCCAAGGTTGGCAACTAAATACAAATTTAAAACTGTATACACAAACTTAATGACGAAAAAACTGGCACATAAACATCGAAATTAATTAAAAAAACTAACTCACTATCGTAAGAAATAACTGAAAGTGAAACTATTTGGATAAAGTTAACTTTTTTGGTTTAATCCCCTCTTTCCAACACTCATTAATAATTCAGAAAACATGCGGAAAAATACAGTATATCATACACTTCTAAGTTAATGTTTTTGACCTTGCAAATGTAATTATTCACAGACAGTTTCAAAGTTGTTGAAGAATAAAAACGAGGGAAACATTGTGTTTTGTGGACCCGAGACCTTCGATAATTACAGATGTTAAATTTTTTTATTTAAAATAGTGATCGAGGTTCTTTCAAACAAAACAAGCAGATTTTATAGATTTTCAATCAGATTTTACAGATTTTATACATTTAATTACAATACACTTCCTTTTCTAGGTTTTAAATTTATTTTATTAAATTTGATTCACTTTTAGCCTCGTGTCGACCTCTGTCGGCAATACCCAACGGTAATATAAATGTCGGAAAACAACTTACACACGGCTCTTACGCTGTATTTTCTTGCAATGCTGGTTATCAACAAGTTGGCTCATCCATTGCATCGTGTAATGACGGAAAATGGTCAGAAAAATTGCCAAACTGTTTAGGTTTGTATTAGCCTGCGAACAGGCTCTCAAGGTGAAATGAGAGCCTGCATCGATGACGAATTTGAATATCTGCGTCTCAAATCGTGACGCGAAATTCTCATTGGTCAGATGCTATAATTTATATGTTTCCGCTGAGCTCTATATATGTCAACTGAAGCACTATGCATAAAAAACACATTAACTGATCAAATTGGTCTTAGCCATCTCATCTCAAAGCACGAAATGTTCTGTTTTGAGAAAACCGTATTTAAAACATTTAAACCTTTGCTTGAATATCTTATATTTCGAAAAACAGTATAAACTGTACGGTCTAAATTTAGTTTGCACGGTCTAAATTTAGTTTGCACGAAAGTTGTAAACAACACCATATAAGGATAGACATTCCATATTTGGAAAAACGAATGTTATGGGGCAGAATTCAAAATTGTATATCATCAGTGCAGGCTCTCATTTCACCTTGAGAGCCGGCATATTGTAAACACTGGACTGGACTTTGGACTGGACTTTTGACTTTGGACTCATGGACTTTGGACTACGGACTTTGGACTTTCGATTTTGAAATTGTATTATTTTTTAGATTTTCGTATAATTATATTAAAATTTAAACAGAGAACGAAAATTTGCTGCTGAAAAGCGTGCTACACTGCATGCACATGCATGATATAATATACAAGGTAAAAAATACTCCGTATCAGTTATATAGGTATACCAGCAGTGCAATTTCATACGGATATAGCCTGTAGGATAGCAGGATTATCCAATATTTTGGGACTTAATATTTAAATTTTATATACTATTTGTATTTATAGTATGCATAGTACAGTTTAGACTGCAGAACTTCTTTATCATATAGATAATAGATTAATTGTCAGAAACAATTGTGACAAAAGCGTCTCGGCAAATACAAAATATTAACTATACAAGTGATTATTATTGCGCCTATTGAGTATTGACTATTGTATTATGTATCTATTGACTGTTCATCTTTGCTTAATAGTTTATACTGGTACTGTCTTGTGTAATTGTTTACTCCGTTACACAGTAACGTTTTGTTAATGTTACTTATTTTTGAAAGACATTCTAGTTAGCTATTCTTATCACTAAGACTAAGTGCTTCAGTTATTATTAATAAGTGTTAGTAGATGGACAGGAATATTCGAACGGAAATTTACACACTTTTTAAGACCTACTCAGTTGTATGTGAGAAGGCAAAAATCTATGTCTATGTGCTTCAGGTAGTCTAGCAACTATTTGCCACGTAGTATAAAGATTAATTCTCAGCCGCATAATGTACGCAAAAGAGCCATATATAGACAATAATATAGTGACATAAATATATACATAAAGTAATACTATAGATTATCATAAAGTATAATCAGTACTACCAATTAATAATGTATCATACATTCGTATTTTATAAACTACAGTGTGATGACTATGAGAGTTTTCGTGTTCACTATGGCTGAATACATTTATGAAAAGCTAAAACTGACACAGACAAAATACATTGTAAACACAGCCTATTTTTAATAGGCAGGCACTAAACCGGTGTAAACTATTATGCAAAGATGAACAATATCGTCATTAGTATTTTTGCGCAAGTGAATAAATATATAACAAATCCTAAAAGTTTTCAAGTTGATTGGTCAAATTTGACAAATTCCCCGATAATCACGGCCTCGCCTTTGGCGAATAATTGTTCAAAGCCAAAGGCGCAATAATAATCGCGTGTAGTTTATACTTATACGTGATAGTTTCTCAATATTTTGTATTTGCCAAGAAACTTTTGTCACAATTGTTTCTATAAATCTATTATCTATACGATAAAGAAGAAGTTCTGCAGTATAAACTGTACTATATATACATACTTTAAATACAAATATTATAATAAAATTTAAATATTAAATAAAAAATATTACTGAGATGATCCTGTTATCCCACAGGCTATAGCTATGAAATTGCACTGGTATACCTATAATTATAATGTTTTACCTTGAATTATCATGCACAAATTTTCGTTCTCTGTTTACATTTTAATTAATATAATTATACGAAAATCTTAAAAATAATATAATTTCAAAATCGAAAGTCCAAAGTCCAAAGTCCATAGTCCAAAGTCCAAAGTCCATAGTACAAAGTTCAAAGTCCATAGTCCAAAGTCCAGTCCAGTGTTTACAATATGCCCTTGAGAGCCTGTTCACAGGCTAGGTTTGTATGTACACACATCAATCAAAACATTGGACAGATATGTACAAAGTTAAAACATATAGTTTATTAAGATATGATGGTGTGGAAACTTATAAACAGAAGTCATTATATATGTTTGTGTATTTTCGTATAATTAAGTAACCGTCCTCCAATAGGGATATAGCTGAGATGAAACACGAAGTTGAGACAAAGGATTTGTGCACGATGAGGTACAGTTCAACATCAAACAAACGTTTTCTATTTTGAAACTTTGATCAAAGTTTGCCGGGCTTCCCTACCATCATATCTTGACAGACTATGGTTAAAATTATATATATATATCTATATATATATAT